GTCAGGGTCATGAACCCTCTGCTCCCTCTGCACCAAATTTCTGGGCAGGCAACTCTCTTCCAGCCTTTTTTTAAATAGAGAAACACACTCATGAGAGTGACAGTCAGAAGATGAAGGCATGGGCTCCATACCATGGTATCTCCAGGAGGCCATGTCTCTGGCAACAGAAAAGCTTGAAGAAACTTACCTGGAGTCATGAAGGAGGAAGCTCAATGATGACAACGACTGATGACAATTCATAACATAATTACCCATGATATTATGCAGATAAACACAGGAGATAAGACAGCCAGCTGCTGTCTGAAAATCAGTGTAATTGGTAAAAGAGTATTTTTCATTGTAGATAGAAATTGGAAAACATAAATAATAAAACTAGCTAAATATATTTAGTGAATATTACTATATTAATTAAAACCATGGAAATCATAAAAGGAAATTCTCAAGATTCAGGACTAAAAAAAAAAAAAAATGTTCCATGGAGTTTACCTTTTTCTATTACTTGGTTTGAAATGTATGAAATAACCTAAACAACATTAGTTTTCTTATTAAGTCATAAAAGCTAACGTTGCAAAAGGAATAGTTTTTTCCCTATTATAAGAAATTTGATGTGAAAGTTCCTTCACACCACTTGAATTTTACTTCCCTCCTTTGCAGTAATCCTAATACACTTTTAACAATTATTTTAACATTTCATTTAAAAGACAAAAGGACAGATGCTCCTTTATGGGATCACTTGCATGAGTAATCTTTAACATAAATGAGGCTGAATATTGTTAGAATATTTTTAATTTTTGCTGAGAAAAGCATATTTATTTTCAGAGATGAAGTTGAAAAACTTTGCAGAGCCACCCAGAGATGCCAAGCAAGCGTAACTGCTAATTGTAATGAAAATTTGAAAGATCCTATAGGAAGGTGACAAGTTCTTATCTTACTGAATGATTTTTTTAAATACAAAAATTCTCACTTCTGATACATTAGCTCAGAAATCTTTTACTGGAGTGAACTAGGAGCCATGGTATTCATGAGCCTAACAGAGATCAGAATCCTATGTAACCAGATTTCCTGCAATCTGGGCAACAACACATAGCCCATGCTGCTTCACATATTCATTCAGCCTTAGTAGTCTTAGATTGAAGTTTTACCAAGTACTAAGAAAAGATGAAAACTCTATACATGCCCTTTTTTGTATTTGCTGTCTCAAACTGAAGTGGTAATAGATACTAGGTAATTACAAACAAGCATTCTGGAAGGAATGATTTTAATATAAAGCTTCAAAATATTTATAGTAGTCCCTCTTCATCAGAGGTGATTCCTACCTTCTGCGCTTCCAAGCCCTGAACTAAATTGCATCTCCTGCATATTTTCTTTGCTTGGTACCTGCAGCATTCACAGCTGCACTGATTGGGGTTTGCTTGCTTTATTGAAGCATATTTACTCTAAGAACGCTAGTTTAAATTAACTTTTGTGAATTTACCTCATCTTAAAGGACCATAATGTAAGGCTGACAGTCACATCAGTGTGCTTGAGACTTGACTGAAGGTGCTCACCATTAATTACCTCTCTGCCATACCAAGGATCTTGTGGACCTGGGTAAAAACTCCCACATTGCAGCAGCTGCCTCTGCTGTATCTGATTCATGAATAAAAGGCTTGTTTTCTATCTTGACTTTCAATTAAATTTTGGTAAACACAGATATTTACCAAGATGTTTAGAACAATTTATCTGACTCCCAAATGAATGGTTGTGTTTCCTGGAACAAAGTCAAAGCCTGAAGCTCTATTCAGAGAAAATTTCAAATGATCAGTGAATGGTGGAAATTTCTGTCTCTGTTTCTGACCTTTGCAATGTCAGAAGTTCAGATTTTCAATGTTAAAAACCCAGCATGCAAGGTACTACAAGACTTCAAGACGGTTTGGGGTTTTTTTCAGCTCCCTTTTTTTCTTAAGGATCAGAATTGAGGGGAGGGAATGCTTCCATCAAGGGCACCACAATCTGGAGCTCATCACAACAAACATCACACAAAATCTGATCTTAAAATGCTTTTCCTCCCTTAAGAGCAGCTGAGCTCCCACACCTTCACACTGCAGTTTTAAGGAATATGGATGCTACCCTCCACTTTTCAAGGGACATGGACAGTATTGGTAGCTGCTGATGAAGATGCTAGGATGGCCTGGAAAGGTTCCCAGTTTCTCACATCACCTTCCAAGAGATAGGAAGCCAAGAACATCATGGTTGATAAAAGTACAATTAGCCTCTAAGACCCAGTTGACTCATACATGTCTTTTGCCTGCAAAAGACAAGTCTTCTGGTAAAACAGAAAAGTGATATTTACAGTTTCTCCAGTCCATTTTGTAAGTCTGTAACTGCTATCAACACAAGGCTTCTCAAGTACTCCAGCAATGAGCTCAGGGTCAATCAGCAGTTATGTGTTTTCCTAGCTGTGGATCTGAGGCATGATTGAAGAAGAAAAGTAAAAGCTCATATCCTCCCCCTGCTTTCATGTATCTTCTCATGGTCAGGCACACCTCATCCCAAACAGCTTAGGTTTAATATTGTGATCAATGTTGAAACTATTTAATACGCTAAATCTAAGTTTCCTTAAATAGTCCCCCATAAAAAAGAGCAATGTTTCATGGTGAGTTTTGCATTTAAAAGACTATTAGAGAATAATTGCAAAAGCTATGGACCTGCAATGAGGCCACCCATCAGTCCTGTGCTAAAATGGCATACTGGCTCATGCTCAGAGGCAAAACCAGCTTCTTACCTTCTTCACAGCTAGATCTGACAATTGATTTTGCAGATTTCTGAAGCTATGATTCCAAAATCTCCAATACATGAATTTTAAGAAATATACCAGCTAATTTTCTTGCACCACTGAGGAGAAGATTAAAATGCAGGCATGCAATATATGATGTGGTTGGATAGCTCAAGCATTAAAAATGCTCAACATTCAGAATGAGTGGCTTTTGTAAAAATTAATTTCAATAACAAGTGGCCTATATGTTACTGTCACTCTCCTTGAGCAGTGCAAGTGACTGCCAAAGTCTGCCAAGGAGGGCTGAAAAACAGGTTCCAAAAATGTTTCCAGGATTCTAACACTGACTTACCAACAGAGAAAATCAAAATGAAAATGTAAAAATAGTGTTTATGAAGGATGCTAATGGTGCCTCAGATCAACAAACTGCCGTTTGAACAAAATGACTTCTGGCCTCAGTCAGACACTTTTTATTTCTTTATCATTATACCTTTTGTAATGATTTGTGTATGCATAGATATCTGCATATGTACATCAACAATTAACTTCTTAAAGAACATGCAAATTCCCATGAAAATGCAAGGTAATTTCTCTTAGTTTTTAAACCAAGACAACATGAATTTGATCTATTTGTTTCAGTTCTGCTTGAAGTAAAAATTCACTGGCTATATATACATATATCAATCATGTCTTAAGCTGCTCAGTCACTACTGAAATAACACCAGGTTTCACAGACGTAAGAGACACCAATCACTGCACTGCAAATGAGAAGGCACTCCAAGTAAAGTACAGATTCTGCTACTCACTTTGAACATTTCCAAAAAAGAAAATGTAGTAGTGTTATAAAGTTTTGGTAAAAACCCCCACCCCTCATTAATCTCCTCAACCCTCTTGTCTCATTCAGAGATGATGAAGCATGTGCACACAACATCCAAAACCTTCCAGCTCTGCACACCAGGAGATCGACTCAGCCAACATAGGGATCTCTTTGGGATCTCTAGGCAAATGGCAAATAAGAAACCCTTCACAGTTTATATCTGTATAGGAGATGTCATTAAATTTCAGGCAATTAGAGAGTTGCACTGATTATTAACCCCTTCAACTACTCATAATCTACAAGCTTTTCTGTTCACAGGGTCCTGCATGGCAAACAACAGATGACAAAAGAAATCAAAACAGATCTGTAACACGGAAAAAAAACCCAGCTCTCCTTGGAGTCATCTAACTTCAGCTAGGGCTGAAAGGTGTTGAGTGGCAGTTGTTCAGAGCTGTGTTCTTAATGGCTCATCACACATCTTGTAATCCTGCCTCCTTCAAAACCTCACAAAAGCATCCCCTCTTTTTCCTCCAAAAGCCACAGACATACCTTGTTTTGACATTATGTCTGGCCTGCAACATCTCATAGCAGACCATCAAGCTTTCCTGCCACTGCTGTTTCACTGCAGGTTTCACTCTGCAGGTTCAAGTACGCCTGAAGGCTGAGTCAAATCAAACTGGATCTCCATCAGAGAGAGAGCAAGAAGTAACTCCACCATTTTGCCTTTTTTGAGAGGTGTCTGTTTACATGCAAAGAGATCAATATAAACCAAACTAGCCATCTCTCTAGCTTCTGTGTTTCTTATTTAGCATTCATTCAACACCTACTGCCATGGGAACTTGGTATACAACAAAAGCTGGCAGGTGTTACGACAGTTCAGCAACTGTACAAATTAAAAACTTATTATGAATAGTTTATTCATCATTATTGCCATCATGAACTCAAAAAAAGACAAAAGGCAACAAGACCAAAGAAAGAACTGAGATTAGAGCCCTGGTGTAAAGAACATTACAAACAACTTATCAGCAAGAATATTAGAGACTTGAGCTCCCTGAATTGCTCCGTTTCTCAATTTTCCTCTGAGACTGCAGAGTTACAGACACAGTCTGAACCTGAAAATCTGTCTGAACATTCAGAGTGATAAATATAGGCAGAATTATTATATTACTATGCAGTGCAAATGCAACTCAGTGAAAGGACCATAATTCAATAGTGGAAATCTGGAACTTGCTGTCAGCTTATTCAAGCTCAAACTGAATTCTACACAGTAAAGCTAAGCAAACTAAGGACCAGGCAAGAAAACACAGAGATAAAAAACACAAGATAGAAGATGCCTCAGTCTCCCACTTTTCACACATCCAGTTTGAATAACAGCAGTATATAACAGTGATGGGAAGTTGGTGATCAAAACTTTTTATTTAAACATACCAGGTATCTTTCCTCCTGCCTCATGTTGGGGGTACGGATCATGTGATTCTGTTCTCCTCTCCAGTCTCCGAAACGTCGAAAAAAATAATTGGATAGGAATCTGTTGACAGGATCTCTAATAATATTGATGTACACGGGCTGATCTCCTCCAAACCTGGTGGGAAGAAAAATGGGTGAATCTCATCACAAGGTTCCATACAGACGCGTATCTATTATTTCTCATCTGAATGCTTTCAAACTACTTCCTACAGAAATTCAGAACTTTTACAAGGTGAGGAGTGAAACTGAGAATCTTACAACCAATTTCTAGACCTTTGTAAATACATGTAAAATCCCTTTAGGATGAACAGTAAATATGGAATCACATTAAGCTATATGCATACTACAAATATTTTAGTTGAAAACCATTTCTTACACTGTATCAATGGTTTTGCTTCTTGAGTTCTCTCCCTGCTGTTTTCAGATGAAGATCCTTCTGCAGATGAGTCAGAGAATGAGCATTTCTTCCTCTCAACACACTTCCTATCTGGGCAGTCATGTCAGAACAGGCACCACCCAGCAGTAACTGCTGTAAGGCAGCCTTGGATCACCTTTGCCTGTACAGTAAGTGTAGTAATGTGCAAAGGATTTTCAGCTTACTTTGAAAGCTTTTTTCCAAAAGCTTCCTCTGGATGAACTGACAGATATGCATGGTATTTCCAATTTTTTATTTTTTGGAACATGTGCAGAATCTTGTCCACTCACCCCGCACCACTGGCTGGATTTGAGGCTATTTCATAGTTACGCAATATTTTATCCCTGTACTGCACTTCATGAACTTTTTTTTTAAAGTCAGTATGAAAGTTCTTGCTTCAAAAAAGAAATTAAGTATCAATCTCAAGTACAAGCAAGTCCAAGGAAAAGGAAAGGGGAACACCAGCTGTGACCAGGCTTGCACATAAGCAAAATGTAGCATAGATATGTGCAACTTAGAGATGAGAAGACAAAACAGAGCAACTTCACCAACTTGAATTTACCCTCTTGTATGTCTCTTCCAGGTGCTAAGGGATAAACATCTTCAGTTCAATAGCTGAGATACCAAAAGAGGAAAGGAGGAAAAAGAAGCTTATGAGGGTCTGATTACACTGTATTTTCAGAATGTTAAAATAATGACTGCATATTTTAGATCAGCACACAGCATCAGGAGAGCAGGCCTAACTGGAAGAAAAAAGGGGAAGCTGCTTACATTGTTCCATGGTCAAAATTAAGAAGTGAACATTCATGAAACATACTTATAGACTACAAACTCTGTGAGACAAAGAATAAAACAAAACCTTCCTGGATTGAGAAGTTCATATGATAAATCCAACTTAGAATTTTTGTCATCTAAGAAAAGGGATTATGCTTCTCCCTTCCGTTTCCCCAATTTAGGTGAACAATTCTCACTTAAGCACTAGCCTATGTTTTATTTTTGGGAGCTTGAGGACATAGCATTTAAATGCTATTCTGATGATTTTCTGAGTCACCATTTATATAATTTCTTCTAAAATGTAAAATACTAGATTAAAAAGAGAGAAAAACTGAAGACACCCTTTAAATTAAAAAAACCCTCTCAGTTTCTCCTCATCTTTTGAGGTGATGAATAATTGAATTTGTATAATAATGTATCAGGGCTTCTCATAAATATTAAAGACATAGCAAAATCGTTTAAAATTATGAATTCTAGTAAAAGTCAAGAGAAAAATCTCATAGAGTTTAAACCTGATTTTTATTCTGCATGAGTCCCCAGACTCCTAAAATACAGTCTGCAAAGGCTTGTCTCATGAGTAACTATGCCTATCAGTAATCTCATTGACCTCAGTGTTGCAGGATCACTGCCATAATTTGAAATTGCACAGACAGCATAAATTTTTTAAACAATCCAATTAAAAAGGCATATGCTCCTTGCTTCCTGATTAGTGCACGACCCAGTTTGGACATGGATGTGCAAGTGAAATATCCCAAATTTAGTATCCTGATCCTGAATTCTTCTCTAAGCTTATCTTTGCTGCTTTTAATCTCTATACAGAAATAAAACCTACACTAAAAAAAAACCAAAAACATTTCTGCAAATACCACAGGACAATGTGGGCATAAAGCTTTGACAATACTCACTCAAATAGAAAGCTTTCAGTGGATGCCTTGGCCTGATAGTTTTGAAAACCAAACTTTTCAAGTGAAATTGCTGGAAGTAATAGATTGCATCTAAATTATTGAACACATTATCTTCCTGCTGCTTGATGCAGATAGCAATAATCAAAAGACAGAGGTGAGTGGAGGAGGACAAAGAAAAGTGGAAGCAATAGAGACAGTAAGAAGTGATGACACCAGCAAGTTGTCTTAAGATAAAGACAAAAAGACCACAAGATTCACAGAAGCAAGAGAGAAGGAATGTCCTGCCCCAGGTTTTGTAGAGGATGTTAAATCCATATAAATGTTCATCAGAAGAGTGAAAAACGAAAATCAGACAGCTAATAGCGATCCTGATGGAAACTTTCAATACATATTGTCTTTTCTGAACTAAAAGGAGGGGTGAGAACATAACCAACAATATTCCCAGAACCAGTCCTTTTGCTGGTGAGGTCGTGTTTCTGAACATGAGAACAGTAAATTCAGGACCAAAAGCCCCGAGAAAAGAGGGCTCATTCATCTCAAGAAGACAGCTGAGACAGAAGGTCACTCTTTCACAAATGCTACAGAGGAGCTTCCATTTCTGAAATGGAGACTGTGCATGCTTCCCACCTCCCCAGACACAGGACAGCTCAAATTTCTGATTTTCTGCATAATGTAACCTGCTGCTATACACCCAGCTGTGGGTTGCTCCACCAGGCAACAAGCAAGGAATTATTAGAAAAATCAAGTCTGTTCTGGTCCTTATTCAAATGTGCATTTTTTTTTTAAACAATTTACAATACTTCAAATTCCAACCATTTGTTTCTATGGACTGTACTCAGAGTCTTCTATGGAAGCTAAGCAGCACTCACATACATAAAAAATCCTAATGGTTAAAAAAAATCAATTACCTTTAGCTATTTAGAGAAGAAAAGGGTAAATCAATGCTCCATTTGTTCAAGTATGTTCAGCATATTTTTAGATATCTATCAATCATAACATATTAAATGCTCTCCAGAGTGAAACTTTTCAGATTAACAACACCCACATGAAAGTGCTCTTGCAAAAAAATAGATATGTGCTCTCATTATACATCACATCACCTTATTTGCTCTCAAACACCTATTGTGAAGGATTCTAAATGGGACATGATATTTTCTAGGCCTAAGTAGCAGACTTACCTTCTCTGAGTGGGACCATGATTGGATCCCACATGATGAAGTTGCAATCAGTGCAATTGGGAAGCGTGGGTCAGGATACCACCACTCCACCAGAACATCGTAAAATGGATACACCAACCCCCACAACACTCTTCCTGTACTTAATGTCTCCTGGTTTATTTTATATATACTAGTAAATCCCATTCATTTTAACTGATCTGTTGTTGAAGGTGTATTTTTGGTGTCCTTATCAAAAAAACTATTTGAAACCTTCAATCAATTATATTTAGGTTAATAATATATTCCCTATGTCTTATATATAATATATATACAACATACAATATATAATATATTCCCTATGCAAGGCAAGTGAGCTTGCCCCTTCACATTTCTGATGAATTGCAATTTTATTATTTACATGACCAAAATCTTTATTTAAAACCATTTACAAACCCCTTGCAAATTAGGAGAAAAAATCAACAAAAGTGATTTGCTTCGCTTTAAAATGGAGACTCTCTTAGTTCCTATTATTTTCCATTTCACTTCAGGAGGCTGCTGCCTTTGCAATCAATACAAAGCTCTTCACACAAGCAGAAGATGCCTTCTTCATCCTTGCAGGCAAAGCACAACTCCTCAGAGAAAAGATGACTCCCAATCTATTCTCTGTAACAACTTTGTCTGCCTCTTACTCTTTTAGCATACACAGTTTTCCCTTAAACAAAAAGGGCAGCTACTAGATATTCAATAAAATGGAAACAAACAAGAACCAACAGCCACATAATATTATTAGGAGAAGGCATATTGTGTCCTTCTTATACAGGAAGCACAGTTTCCTCTTACAGTGCCTTATAACTGAGAATCACAATCTAGAGTAAAATTGCCCAGCCACCTTTACTCATCAATCATGTTAGAGCTCCCTTACCTGCCCGGCAGCACAGCTTAACGGTGAGGTCATGTAAAAGCACTAACACAGAACCTTCACCTTTCTAGGACTTAAATAAGATGCAGTTACTTCAACATTTACCTTCTGAAAAAGGTATTTTGAAATACAAGTTTTTGTACCATCTTGCATCAGCATGAACTTGTGGCAAAGCAACCCCATGCACACAAAGCAGCAGGCACTTCTGATCCTCCTCAAGGATGAGCAGCAAAGAGGAATGGGCTGAGGTACTGCCTGCCTGGGAGTACATGGTACTGCCAGCCCCCATAATCAAGAATTTGTTTATCTTCCTGCTCTTATCTGTACTGCCTCTATTGCAGACTTCACCCTCATGCTGTGGTCATGTTTTCAAATGCACCTACGCTAGCCACAAGGTTATTTCAGTCATAATAATACTGGCATAGCTGAACTAGTACAAGGACTATGTAGAGCAGACTTCAGTGAAAAACTCTGGCTTCATGAGGCTTTTCTCCTTTCTTGCAGAGTACTAACTAGGCTGCCTCTCCCCAGCTGAACTCAAAGTTATGCCAGTCTGCTTTTTTGTTATTGCTCTCTAGTTTATCCCAGACAAAAAACAAGCAATGCAGAGAGGTGATGTAATTATCACTGAAAAAACACGTAGATGCAGCCCTCAGAGACATGGTTTAGCTGTGGACTTTGGCAGTTGTAGGTTAACAGTTGGACTTGAGGACCTTAACAATCTTTTCCAACCTTGAACTGCCTGCCCTTCAATGGGAGGTGTATGCAGGGATACAAAATGCCCAGTGGTCCAAGGTTAGCAGTAAAATAGTGCACACCCCTCATCAGTCACCCTTTCTGGACCTGAGATTTCCACAGTAGAAATTTCATTTTCTGAAGTGATGTGTCTGGGTCATGTCACTGTAAAATTACAACTGAGCCCTCTAGGAATTGTTTAGTAACCTG